CCCTTTTATGCATAATTACCATATTTTTTAGTATAGTTTCTTCTTTTTCTGGAAAAACCTTGAAAATGTATTTATAAATTATTAGACATAATACACTACAAAACAGTTTTTATCCTGACATTACCTAATGTGTACCGCACATATTATAAGAAAAAGATAAAATAGATTATAAGTAAGCATAAAGACTAGTACTACTAACGTTTCACTTAATTCTTACATTATACTGTCACAAGTTTCTTGTGTACAGTTTTCCTCTTCATTTTCCATTTTATACGAATATCTTTTTATACGAATAATTCAACTCACAAATCTTTTCTTAGTAAGAGAAACAGTTTCGTAAAATCGCTTACACGGTTATTTATATTTTTTATTTATCACGAAATATAATATTTAAGCGACTATAAGTCTAAGGGATATCTACAGACATTAATAAGCACTGTCAAGAACAATGTTGAGTCGCGTATTATTCGGAACCATATTATTTGTATAAATACAAATATAAACGAAAGCTATATGTGCATTTTTCAAGAAAGTGAAGAAAGCCAAAGGCATGAATAATAAATTAGGAAAAAAATCCAGTCGGTCGGTTGCATCGCGGAGGGGTTGCTTTGAGTAATACAGGTAATTGTACGTGTAACAAATCAAATATTGAACGATGCAGAAGAAGAACGTGGTATATGTGTTTCAAAGAACGACAGTTGCTTTCGGGTAAGAACTATTTCAAGACACACTTGGAAGATTAATAGTGTAACCGTCTGTGGGTAAAATAATAAGTATCTTACGCCAGTGAAAAATTTTCCAGTGCTCGATAATGCGATCAAGTACGAATTGGAATAGTGATACTACAAATAGTTTAAAATTTCATAAAAATTTTCTTGGCATTATTGGACTCTGGGTACTAGATGAAAAAAATGTATTCTCGAAAATTCGATGGTTTTTATCAACAGCAGTAGAAGTGAGTTATGCAATGCAATTTACACTTTTACATATTCGCGTTAAATATTGGAATTTATTCCTTTTATTTCATCAAACAATAGAAATGTGTTAAATGTTATTCTATTTATATACTTTTTATTTATATATATTTCTTACCTTGTTAAACAAATATATTATATTTATTAAATTATTATATCTTATACATAAAGGAGTACCCAAAAGTTTCCGGGACTGAATTAAGTCACAAAGAAAATATTTCAAAAAGGATGAATACACTGTAAACAATTTTTTAATAATTCCAAAAACTTTTGCGTACTCTCTCGTAGAAATATGCTGTATCAAATTAAATAAAAATATATTTATATTGATACACAGTATCTTCATTGTATTTTTGTAATTTCAGTTGAGTACATTGGTCACCATGTCTGTAGAACTGATCCTACACTGTAAGGGTCCAGAGGACGCCATGGATGCATTTTTATTGTGCTCATCGTCATTAGTTAGCATGGTAAAATTACTTTTGCATCGTGTATATTGGAGGCAAAAATTTATTTTGGTGGAATCAGTCATCCATGATTGGACTTACGTGAAAAGTTCTCACTCTCGCGATATCATGCTGAAATATGCACGCATAGGTAGACTAGGGTCCTCGATATTCTTCTATTTCTGTTGTGCCTCCATCATGTCCAGGATTCCGGCTGTCGTGCTCGCCAATATCAATTTGCCTTGGAATTCTGAAAAGCAGTATTTCAATGAAACATACGAACGAAAACTGGTATTAGCGGCCTATTGCGTATTTGGAAAGTATACATCTTCTATTACTTACGGCGCCATTGAAGTTTTGCAGTTCGTACAGGTCGTCGTTAATGGCATTTCGCAGTGCGGGAACGATGGATTCTTCTTCGATCTCACGATGCACATGTGTGGACAATTCGCAATTCTCAGGATGAACTTCACTGAATTGGATTGCGAAGAATTTTCCTGCCGCAGGAAACTCCATGTCTTATTGAAGAGACATTATCACCTTATATATTTGTCACATTATTTAGAGAGAGCTTTTGCTCTGGTCATCTTAGCGCAAGTTTTAATGAGTGTCCTTGTCCTGTGTGTTGAAGGTAATCATATAAATATTTTAAATAAAAAATAATCGATTTTAAAGTGTTGTAATAGTTGCAGAATTTGTATTTGTTACTTATTCTGTATTATTATATATACATACATATACCCTTACAGCACGAAATATTTCTAAAACGTCGTATAATATAAATTCACATATTAACAAAATTTGGATCTATTGATGTTTTGCACAATTATAAACTCTGTATCATAATCACTAAAAGATTTGCAACTATGATAAATTTATCACTAATCATATTTAATCTATTTTATTGTTTTCAGGTTTTCTGTTAATTCTTTCACTTGAAATGAACGATACCTTTACCGCCGCAAAACATAGCCTCTTTGTTTTCGCACTGCTATTGCAACTGTTTATCTACTGCTTCGCTGGAGACATATTGGAATTTCAATCGAAAGGATTGGCCTATGCAATTTATAAATCACCGTGGTACACTTTTGACATACGCACAATGAAAAATTTACCATTAATAATTCTCCGAGCAACCTATCCCCAGCAGTTAACTGCAGGAAAATTTGTAGCAATAAATTTAAGGACTTTCAAAGAAATTCTGAAGGCTTCCGCCTCGTATTTATCAGTATTACGAGTAATGATTAAAGCGTGAGTAGAAATTCTTTTAGTGAAGAAAATAAAAAGTCAGTAGTCTAGTTATTTCTTTTATAAATTACTTTATCAAATTCATTCATTACCAATTATTTAGTTAATTCTTTTATAAATAATTTCAACTACGTTTCTTGAGCTAATGGTTTTTAAAAATTTGTAATTAAATAACAAACGCTTTTCTGTAAGTAGTAATGAATAAAGATATGTAAATTGTTGACGGAATATCAAAACTGCATTAATATTATGTTTATTAAGATATACTATAAATATAAAATTATTAAGAAGATATATACATATAACATTAAAGAGTATAATGGTGCAAATAAAACGTAAAAAAATTATGAATAAGTAATATTATGTAAATAGTACGTAATATTACGTAATATTTAGTTTTTATTAAGTAATATTTACTGTGACGGCATGAATATATATAAAATTATTACCTGAGATCATGTAACTAATAATTTCACCAAATACACTATTCCTATGGTGGAAATGCCTAGCCTTCGCTGAAGAAAACATTGTACACTGTAAAAAAAGTATGAAAAATTACAAACATTATAAGTGTAGCGATTACACTATTAATAACGTAAATGTATAAATTTATATACTTATTAAAAAAAATTTGTGTTACTCTTTGTTGCGTAAATACTTGTTTATATATAATAAAAAATTTTGTATTGTAAAATTTATACAATTAAAAGCAAGCAATTTACTTGTTACATACAATAATAATTTTATCTACAAAGTGTAAATTTACTGACGTAAGTAAATATACACCTTTAATAGAAGCACCCAATATTACCCACTATAATAATTGTAATTTTACATGTAATTTTTTTACAGTGTATAAAAAAAACTAAAACACCAAAGGAAACTCGGTCACAAAAGGGTTAAATCGTAAGATAGTACGGGATTTTAAAATAAATGTTCGAACAGAATAATAAGCTAATAAAGACTGATAAACTGAATAAAAATAATAAACTAAATAAAAGTTAATAAACTGAATGAATTGGTTTGTTAATTACAAGCTATAAATTTAATAATTTTAAAAACAGTTTTCTATATATTATAAGTAAATATATTATACGTATATATTATAAGTAATATATTATAAGTAAATATAAAGACAAGTACTACTAACGTTTCACATAATTCTTACAATATACTGTCACAAGTTTCTTGTGTACAGTTTTCGTCTTCTTTTTCCATTTTTACGAATATATATCTTCTTATACGAATAAATCAACTCACAAATCTTTTCTCAGTAAGAGAAACAGTTTCGTAAAACCGCTTACACAGCTATTTATATTTTTTATTTATCGCGAAATACAATATTTAAACGACTGTAAGTCTAAGAGATATCTGCAGATATTAATAATGTCTGTCCAGGACAATGTTGAATCGCGTATCATTCGGAACCATATTATTTTGTACAAATACAAATGTAAACGAAAGCTATACTCGCATTTTACAAGAAAGTCACGAAAGCCGATTGTATGAATAATAAATGAAAAAAAATCCAGTCGGTCGGTTGCATCACGGAGGGGTTGCTTTGAGTAATACAGGTAATTGTACGTACAACAAATCAAATATTGAACGACGCAGAAGAGCGTAGTATATGTGTTTCAAAGGACGACAGTCGCTTTCGGGTAAGAACTATTTGAAGAGACACTTGGAAGTTGACAGTGTAACAGTCTGTGGGTGAAATAATAAAGATTGTACGCAAACGTCAAATTTTTAAGCGCTAGAAAATGCGATCAAGTACGAATTGGAATACTGATACTGCAAATAGTTTGAAATTTCATAAATATTTTCTTGGCATTATTGGACTCTGGGTACTAGATGAGAAAAATGTATTCTCGAAAATTCGATGGTTTTTATCAACGGCAGTGGAAGTGAGTTATGCAGTGTAACTTATACTTTTACATATTCGCGTTATGTATTTGAACCTATTCCTTTTATTTCATCAAACAATAGAAATGTGTTAAATGTCATTCCATTTATATATACTGTATACATATTTCGCCTTGTTACACAAATATATTGGTATATCGATTAAATTATTATATCTTATACATGAAGGGGTACCCAAAAGTTTTCAGGACTATTAAAAAAAATATTGTAAGTATACTTACGGGTCTTTCCTATGGAAAATTTGATCTCCTTCGAAGCTTTTTGTTGACATTAATTATGAAGTTCACCAAAAAGTGATGATAGCACTTCGGAAGAAGAATTTAGACGGTCCAGTATCTCCTGAAATGGAAGAGGCTGGGATTGTTGAATGGAAAATATTACAAAAGGGATAAGTACACTGTATACAGTTTTTTTAATCATTGTGAAAACTTTTGCGTACTCTCGCGTAAATATATATTAAATCAAATCAAATAAAAGTATATTTATGTTGTCACGTTATATCTGTATTTCATTTTCGTAACTTCAGTTCAGTACATCAATCACCATGTCACTAGAAATGATTCTACATTGTAATGGTCAAGAGGACGCCATGGATGCCTTTTTATTGGGCTCATCGTCATTAATTAGTGTGATAAAACTACTTTTGCATCGCGTATATTGGAGACAAAAATCCATTTTGGTGGAATCAGTCATCCATGATTGGACTTACGTGAAAAATTCTCACTCCCGCGATATCATGCTGAAGTATGCACGCATAGGTAAACTAGGGTCCTCGATATTCTTCTATTTCGGTTGTGCCTCGGTCATATCCTTCGTTTCCACTGTCGTGCTCGCTAACATCAATTTGCCCTGGACTTCGGAAAAGCAATATTTCAATGAAACCTACGAACGAAAACTGATGTTAGCGGCCTATTGCGTTTTTGGAAAGTACACGTCTACTTTCACTTACTGCGCCATTGAAGCTTTGCAGTTCGTACAGATCGTCGTTAATGGCATTTCGCAGTGCGGGAACGACGGATTCTTCTTCGATCTCACGATGCACATGTGTGGACAATTCGCAAGTCTCAAGATGAACTTCACCGAATTGGTTTGCGAAGAATTTTCCTGCCGCACTAAACTCGATATCTTATTGAAGAGACATTATCACCTTATATATTTGTCGCATTATTTAGAAAAGGCTTTTACTCTGATCATCTTAGCACAAGTTTTAATGAGTATCCTTGTTCTGTGTGTCGAAGGTAAACGTAGAAGTATTTAAATAAACTATGATCAATTTTATTGTTGTAAAAGTTTCGGAATTTGTGTTTTTGTTATTTATTTTATATCATATATTATACATATATGTATATCAATAACTAATAAATGTAAATTACTAAAATTTAAAAAATTTGGATGTATCTATATATTGAAAAATTACAAACTCTGTATTATAATTACTATAAGATTTGCAACTATTTTACATTTATTACTAATCACATTTAACGTATTGTATTATTTTCAGGTTTTCTTTTACTTCTCTCACTTGAAATGAACGATACTCTTACCGCCGCAAAACATAGCGTCTTTATTTTTTCACTGCTAGTGCAACTGTTTCTCTACTGCTTCGCTGGACAGATATTAGAATTCCAATCGAAAGGACTGGCCTACGCAATTTATAAATCGCCATGGTACAATTTTGACATACGCGTGATGAAAAGTTTACCATTAATAATTCTCCGAGCAACCAAACCTCAGCAGTTAACTGCAGGAAAATTTGCAGCAATGAATTTAATGACTTTCAAAGAAATTCTGAAGGCTTCCGCCTCGTATTTGTCGGTATTAAGGGTAATGATTAAAGCGTGAGTAAAAATTCTTGTAGCGAAAAAGAAGAAAAGTCTGTCGAGTTATTTCTTTTATAAATTACTTTATCAAAGGTTTTAATTACCAATTATTTAATTTGTTCTTTTATAAATAATTTTAACTATGTTTCACAAGCTAATGTTTCTTAAAATATTGTAATTAAAGCATTTTCTGTAAGTGGTAATGAATAAAAATATGTAATTTGATAATGGAATGATACAATTTCATTAATATTATAATTATTAAGAAATATTTTAAATACGAAAATATTAAGAAGATATGTATAATATTAAAGAATATAATAGTGCAAATAAAAAGAAGAAAAATTGTTATATAGTAATATTATGTACACATTACGTAATATTTAGGTTTTATTAAGTAATATTTACTGTGACGGAATGAATATATATGAAATTATTACCTGAGATGATGTAAATTTAATAATTTCACTGTATGCACCTATTAATAATTTCACCAAATGCACTGTTCCTATGTTAGAAATGCCTATGAATGTTAGAGAAGGAATGTAAAGACGTGTACACCGATCGGTTTTTGCACTTCTTTGGCCTGCAAGAAAAGTGTTCTGCGCAAGTTAATAATACATGAGATGAAATAATGAGTTAACATGGCAGAATTGATAACTTACAATAATGCCCGGTAAGAGTCGAACAATCGTAAATCGATGGTAATTTGGCAACATTTAGTTTGTAACAACCGAACGAAGTAGTTTCGAATGAGCAGTCCTCTGAATTCTTCCGCTCGCCAGAATGATGGATAAACGTTGGAATGATGATATCGCTTACGTTTTTTCCGCTCATAGATTGTTCCTAGGTCCGTACGGTTTGTGGCCCTTGCAAACGCAGACAGTGTTCACGAAGATACGATGGGGCTTTTGCACGATTGCACAGGTACGTTAATGCAAGAGGGATGGTAGTATAATGTGTATGATCAAGGAACGTGAATGGGGTAAGTCTTGAAATTTGCGAAGTAGTTTTCTGAGCAATTTTCTTTTCTAAATATTCAACGATAATTTCAAGGAATACAATTTCTTCTTTTATCATTTTACTATTTGTTTGGCAAATTTATACAAGTTTATAATAAAACATGAAAAAGTTATTTGTCCATCATTATAAAATCCAATTATCCATCATTATTTCTTTTATTCATTAGTGTTTGTGCAGATATTAATTATTATTTAGTTTCTGATACTACCCTTCGCTTTATTGGATCTCTTCTGGAGCGATCAGGATGCCGGTTCAAATCTAGAATGTTTGACGTATATTGTGTCTACGGGAATCGGAGTCGTAAAAAGTGTGTGTATTAGAGCCAGTCAAAAGAAACTGGGCATAAACATTAATGCTGCTATCGATGATTGGTTATCTGCTAATGAGGAAGATAAAAAGATTATGAAGAAATATGCTAATAGATCCAAAGTATTCACCGCTTCATTATTATACACAGTAGCTGTGTGTACTGGCATCTATGTATTAGTCGTCGTATTCGTAAATCTGAAACAGATATATTTTCCGGATGAGAATTTAGCGGATGGTAAAATTTGTATTGTGCTCTTATCTTTGTTAATTGAATTTTGTAATTTAATTATATACTAAATTGTTGTAACATTAACTTGACATTTTTCATTCTCATATATAGTTAATACAACAAATTGGGTGCTTCTGATTCCATCTGGTCCACTTAGTAACTGGATCACCGGTACACAATCTGCGATAACTTTGACTATCCAGATCATTCAGGCATGCATATTATCCATCATGTTAGGTATCGCGGATAGCCTCTTCTTCACCGTCACGCTACATCTCGCCGGTCAACTCGAGGTGCTCAAAAGTAAATTCCAAACTTTTGCGAACGAGCCGAACACCGAGGCAAATTATCGAAAGAAATTCGTCGGCTTGATTAACAGGCACAGCGAGCTAACGGAATTGTATCAAAATTTGGAAGACAGCTTCCACATTCTTATATTATCTCAACTTGTGGTAACGACAGTTATGCTTGCACTAGCGGGTAATGTATATCAAAGATTTTACTTCGCATTTATTAAGGCAATATATTATATAAAATCTACACACGACATATTTCTATGAAAATTGAAAAATTTTACATACATTTAATATATTTTATTAAATTTAAGAATCAGCTTTTTAAAAGTTGCCAGCAATAACTAACAAATTGTATATTAGTCAACCTCAACTGATTTGATTAAATTAAATTTAAGTATTCGCACGACATATTAAACACGTTCTCTTAAAATAACATGCTTATTTGTAGGATTGCGTTTAAATATCAACCTGAACGAGAAAAATTATGTTGAAGTGACAAAGGGTATTATGGTTTTGAACTTCTTATTATTGCAATCGTTGGTATTTACCTATGGTGGTGAATTCCTGCAAAACGAAAGCGAAGATATATTCCATGCTTTATACACGACTTCCTGGTTTACGCTTCCTTTAGCGTTGATGAAGGACCTACATTTCGCAATGATGAGATCGAATATACCGTTTCGCTTGACCGGAGGGAAATTTTTCTATGTTAATCGCGAGACAATGATGTACATCCTCAAGACATCGGCATCGTATGTTTCAGTTTTACGAATAGCGTTAAGAAAGTAATGTTGACGTGTATGTGCGTACGTATGGCGAGATTGAAAATTTTCAGAGATCTTATTATAAAATCTGATACTATGTAATATGTACAAATATGATTGAATATTGATTAAAAAGTATTTTGAGACATAAGTTTTGACTTCCACTGAAGAAAAACATGGATGCTATTTGTTTGATTAAACTAAATCGTCCAACGTTTATGTCGTATGCCAATCAAGAAAAGAATTTCATAGGATTTCGCGAGATTAAATATATTTATAATTATAATATAATTAAGATACATTGTTTAATTCTTGTAGTGCATGTAGATACGTCCAACAAATAATTTACTACGAATACTAAGAGCATATTTTTATTTGGTCTAATAAAATAATAAAATCTTAAAATAAATTAAAGTATTCAGCTAAAGTCATGTGCTACAGCCAGTATAGTATTTTGCACATACCTGATCCATTCTTTAAAAAAGTAAGCACTGAAATAGTTAATTAGAAACGATTAATAAATCGTACCATCAAATATTCATATTGGCAATTAATTCTGGCCTCGACAAATAAATCTACATTTATATTCTTTTCTTTATAGATATTAAAGACATATACTTTGTTTTATGTAACGTAGTCTCGAAATTGTGTGTACGTTATTTATTTCAGTTAGTCTTATACTGTCCATTTTTCTTCACGATGATTTTTATTTTCACGATTGTTTATTGTATCTAATGTTTCCACTTTGCTGCAGCTTCTCTTATTTGTACAGCTTATACTATTGTTTCTTACTTTCACAGAAGATTTTACCGAAGAAATTCGAAACGTATGGAAACACGCTTCCTGATGAATTATTAGTAATAACGTACTATTTTTTGTTATTATTGCTCAGTTTATTACGTAAAAATGTTATATTCAAATATAACATTGTCTCTAGTCTCTTCTATTACATTTTATCTCCATACATAACATTTTTCTATTTTATGTATCTTATTTATATCTTCCTGTCTGAAAAATATGTATAAATCATTTCTTCAGAGAACGCTAGGGCGACAATTTAACAAAACGTTTCACTGTTGCAGCTGTAGATTATTTATTTATCAACAGATACACCCTACGTGACTGTAAATCTATTATTTCATAGATAACGTAAGTATGGTCGAAGACAATGTCGTGTCATATATAACCATATTATTTGTACAAATATATATGGAAATGTGAGATATACTTGCGTTCTTAAAGGAAATAAAAGCTGAAGATATGAATAATAAATTAGAAAGAAATCCAAGAGTCAGTTTCGCGAGGGGTTGTCGCAGCGAAACAAATACGGGTTGTATCTATCGAGTATCACACGATGCAGTTATCGTGGTGAATCGAAGGACTGCGCTACTTCGCTTTTGGAGAGAAGCGTGGAACTGAAGAGAAACTGTTATAATATAATTGCAACAGTCGTCGAATGAAATAAACCGGAAAAAATTGTTACGATTTTAAGTTTGAACGTGTTTGAGAATGGGACAGGCCGTAGAATGGAATTCTGACACTGCGCACGTTTTAACACTTCATAAGTATCTTCTTGGGATACTTGGACTCTGGGTACTAGATGAAGAAACTAGATTTTCGAGGATTAGATGGTTTATGTCGACGATAATAGAAGTAAGTTATACTTTCAGATATTATTAGTGTAACTTACATTTAATTATTTTTTAAAATTTTATTTGGTTTCCTTGTATGCGTATGTTTTTCGTCCAATTTGTAATAATAAATTCTATTTGTCTCGTACATTGTATTTAATTTCGATGACGTCTTATAAATTAAGCTGAAACATTTTATAAATTTTAAATTACACACAGAAAGGATGATGTTATTAAAAAAATTTTTTATTTAGATACAAATCTGAAAATAATTTAGTTAGATCATTAAAAGATTTATATATAAGATCCTCAAGCTGGTTGCTTAAATATCTATATCTTTTGCAACGTCCTACATAATTATTTGATGGTCCAACTTTCAGATCTATATTTACCACATTTTTAAATACTTTAACAAAACCGTTCTTTCCACGCATATATTATAAAATACAGTTTGATAAAAATGAAGTATTTACATAAGAATTCTCTCTTTCTGTCTCTCTCTGTCTCTCTCACTCTCTCTCTCTCACACACACACTCTCTCTCTCTCTCTCTCTCTCTCTCAATATCTTTATTTTACTTTTATCACCTAGCTGAGTGCAACGATCAGCCTATCACTGGAAGTTATCTATCACTGTCGTGGGCACGAGGACGCATTGGATGCTTTTCTATCAGCATCCACATCCATTACTAGTATATCGAAACTGCTCCTGCATCGTGTGAATTGGAGGCACAAATTAATTTTGGTGGAATCTGTTATTAATGATTGGACCGTCGTGAACAATTGTTATTCACGCGAAATTATGTTGAAATATGCGCGCATCAGTAGGCTGGTTTCTTTGGTATTCCTATACTTCGGATGTGCTTCTTGCGTGTTTCTCTTCTCACCCTTTATATTAGCCAACTTTAATCTGTTGTGGACCACTGAAGAACAGATTTACAACAAAACGAGTGAATGGAAATTGCTTTTAGCAGCTTATTGCGTCTTCGGAAGTTATACGTCTTTCGCTTACGGTTTAATTGAAGTCCTGCAGGCATTACAAATCCTGGTCAACTGTATCTCGCAGTGTGGAAATGACGGATTCTTCTTCAATCTCACGATGCACGTATGCGGGCAGTTTGAAGTTCTCAGAATGGACTTCTCTCAAATAGATAGCAAGGAATTGCTTAGTCGCAATAGACTTGGTATTCTGTTGAAAAGGCACCATCGCCTTATATACTTGGCGCATCATCTGCAAAAAGCATTCAGTCTGGTCATCTTATCACAACTTTTAATGAGTGTTATTCTATTGTGCGTCGAAGGTATATTTTATATTTTAAATAAATCGTAATCTAATTTATAAAAATCCCGAAACAGAGCAATATAGCTACATTATATAGTAATAATTTTTAAGTCATTTAAAAGGTAAAGATGCAAAGCAAATGTTTTCTTGATATCTTCGTTTTAATAGAATTACGAAAAAAGGACAAAATTTGCAATAGATCTTTTCAACTTATCGATAATTGTGCTCATTATCACATTTCAGGCTTTCAATTAATCCTCACACTTTCGATGAACAATACATACGCTGCCACGAAGCACCTTCTCTTCATCGTCGTTCTGCTGATGCAACTTTTCCTTTACTGTTTCGCCGGACAGACTTTGGAATTTCAATCGCAAGGATTAGTTTCTGCGATTTACAATTCACCGTGGTACAACTTCGACACGAGCGTGATGAAGAATTTACCATTTATGATTCTTCGGGCAGCTCATCCTCATCAGTTAACCGCAGGAAAATTTTTAGCAATAAATTTTATAAGTTTTAAGGAAATTCTGAAGGCTTCCGCCTCATATTTATCCGTATTAAGAGTAATGCTAGAAACGTGATCGGGAATTCTGTTTGGAATAAAGATTGTATTTCTTATCGCGTAATTTTACTTTAAATATATCATATAACTAATATTTTTTGAAAATATAACAATTAGTGAAGAGAGAACAAAGAAATTATTATAATATATTTTGTACCAATAGTTATTATCAAGAGTAATCACAGCGATGAAACAATTAACATTATATTTGAATGAATCCGATGAATCAAAGCATTATAATAATATGTGAGCATTATGTTCAGCATAAAAACTTGGAAAGATTTATGATATACATTATTATTATAACGATTTGCAAGTATCGTAAATAAAAATGTAATTATTTGGAAAAAGTAAAGTTTACCATACAAGAATTTTGAAGTAACACTTTATTAAGATTATAACAAGTGTTATTCGTTTACTCAGATAATGCAAACTTTGAACAATAAACGATGAAATTTTATAGAAAAGAAAAGAAAAAAAGCGTAATTGAGAAGATGTAATTTAAAAAATATCATTAATAAAATTGACATTTTCTATTTGTAATGGTCTTTTTGTAATAGTCACGCGTTTGTTATCAATCATTGTTTCACACAGATACCATAAGTAAGTTTCAATACGCTGTGTCGTCGTTTCGATCGTGATCGTTCACAAATATCGACGGATTGGCAAAGCCATCGTAAACATAAAAAATTGTGCACATTATGAAAAAACATGGATGTTACAAAAATGTACTGCCACAAAATTATAGTTCTACTTATCTTACTACCATAAAAACCGATCGATGAACAAATGGTACGTCCGACTATAGTAATTTTTCTTGAAGCCGTACATTGCATAAATTGAACAATATCCTTTCATGCATGACATCGTCACAATTTTCTTGAGATCGAAACTAGTATGTCGCCGGGCATAAAGACAAGTTGGAACAGCGGCATGGACTATGGCTTCTCAGTGATAAGGAATATGATGTGGATAGTCGGTGTGTGGCCTTTGCAGCAGGACGATATAGTTTGCACATTTCGCTGGTGTATCATATTCATTGTAGAGGTAAGATAAAACAACTGAAAGCTTTCTTTCTTAGATATAAAATATCTTGATAAATGCAAAGATATATCTATAGATACGCTATAGATATATAGCGCTATATAGATAATGTTTTTGTCAATAGATGTTTTGTCTATAGGCTATAGATATATAGCGCTATAGATAATGTTTTTGTCAAAAGTCCTAATCATAATTTAGATTAGGATAATCAATTTTTTGTTCATTTGCAATTTTGAGAAATTTGAGAAGTAATTCCTTTTAAGAAAATAATGAAAATTTTAATTAATCCACGTCTAATCTGAATTAAATTTAGATTAAAGCATAGCAAAACGAAATTTTCTACTTTTATTATTAATAACTTTATACAATTTAATTAATATTATTTTTATATTTATTTATAAAATTAATGGTGAAAGCCTTTATAAAAAAATAGTTGAAGTATTTATAAAAAAAAATGGTTGAACCCTTGCTGTCATGTAGTCTCTCACAGTGATCAGTCTGCTGATAGAACCTTTCAAGAACTGCGGTGACACCAAAGACGCTCTGGATGTTTTTCTTATAATAGAAACTAGCTTTCACGCGTGGATAAACATAGTCTTTGCGCGTATTTATATGAAAAAGATTGTCATCAATGTGAGTTCTGCAATTGACGATTGGTCGTCCTCGTCGACGGAGAAACAGTCTTATCTAATAATGACGGGATATGCACGAATAGGTCGAGTGATCACTGTGTCTCAATTGATAATTGGACTTCTAGCCGCTGTCGTATACTTTACCACTATTATCGTCGGAAATCAACAACAGGTGATATTTGATTTGTGATACAGCCCGTGTAGAAGATATAATAGGGCCCTGAAAAGGCCCTGATAAGGCTTCCTTAAAATTAATCGGGCCCTAGTAAGGATATATAAGTAGGGCCTGACAAGGAAATGTAACAAGTGGTTTAAGAGCACATTAAAGGAAAAATTTTCAGGACATTGTAAGGAAATATTACTAGGGCCTTATAAGGAAATCGTGTTAGAGCCTTTTAGTAAATCTAGGACATCCTTAATAACTCCTTGTAGGGCCCTGATGTGGTAATATTGAGGTAGCCCTTTTTAAGGCATCCTTATTAAATCCTCATCGGGGCCTTATGCTTATTAGGCTTTCCCTAACTATTTTCTACACGGGAGATTGTTACTTTAATTGTATTATATACTGTACAATGTAGCGCTTATAATAAAAATAATTCATAGAAAATTCGTTTCTGGAAAATATTATGATCAGCATATACGATATATTAGAAAACTAAATTTATTAATAAAGAATAAAATTCCGGACTTATTACTGACATAAACAATTTTTCTGCAAGTATTTTAATTTTAATAATCCGTTTGTTGCGCGTTTGTTACTTACTTTTATAGTTGTTAAATTGTATAACATCTTGAAATATTTTAATAGGTCGTAACTATTGATAATAATACAGTAACTTTATGGAATTTTGTTCTTCCGTCAACATGCCTGTTCCGAGGGATTTCATATTCTACATATAAGGCGCTTATCCTCATGCAAATATTACAGTCGTTTCTAATCTACATAGCAGAATGCGCAAGCGATTGCTTCTTCTTTGCTATTACCATGCACCTCTGCGGCCAGCTAGAGCTCTTGAGGATTTGCTTTGTTGAACTCGTTGGAAAAAAAACTGACGGGAAGAATAATTATCGCAGCATATTGGGTTCTTGGATCAGAAGGCACTACAAACTAATAATGCTGGCTAAAAATATTGAAGACGCCTTTAATCTTAATATTTTAATTCGTTTATTAATAACTACCGTTGTCACTGCAGTTTCAGGTATTTATGTAATATATCGTAAAGAGCCATTCTACTTTCTTGGTTACTGACAAGATCAAAATGTAGTATAATTAATACGGAACTTACAATAATGTTAAAACTTGCAAAAGTCATAACACATCTACAGTAAATTGCCTTCAAATAATGAATAAGAGCTGTTAATAGAAAAACTGTAACAAAAATATTTTTAATATCGATATAAAGTACCAATTGTATCATAAATGTAAGAAATGAGGGATTGAAAAAAACTTCCGTCCTTTTCAGGGATGCGTATTATTGTATCCGTTAAACACAATGATTATACTAATGTAGTTAAAAGTATGATCTTCGTCCAGTTTTTCATCGTACAATCTTTCTTGTTCACGCACGCCGGCGAAACATTGCAGAAACAAAGCGAATCGATCGTTTCGGCAATATACAACACAACGTGGCACGAATTGCCGCCCACCATAGTAAAGGATTTGATATTTATTATGATGAGGACGAGGATCCCTCTTCAACTCACTGCTGGAAAATTTTTTTATATTACTCGAAGTACTACGACAGATATTCTGAAAGCTGCTTTGACATACATATCATTTTTACAGGTGACAATGAAAGAATAATCCAAATATTTTATGGAACTGTTTGTTTATCATATCACATGACATGTAGATAATAGCGTGTAGATAAATGAAAAACAAAATATATTTATATATTTCAGTATATTTATGTCATTTTTTTCTCGGACCGTATTTTGCTGTCATTTTTTGAACATTTACAATGAAGAAACGTTAGCGTTATGTTTATTTAAAAAGATGTTACACTCTTCGCGTCAAATAAGATAAAACTTTAATTAATTATTAAAAATATATATGTATACGCATATATATGTATACTCGTATATAAAGTTATAATATAATTTTTTAAACAAGAGGTTATTGGACATTTTATTAAAAATATTTATTATAATATGCAAGAAATAATTATATACTTTTCATGTACACAATATTTACATAATAAATTAATTTAAGAAGTTTAAATAAATAAATACTGAGAGAGATTACTAAGCATCGTAGATTCATATCCGCCAATTGTTAAAAGTATAGTCTACAATGTACATTTATTAATTGTAATTACATACAATTCTAGGAGTTAAGCAATATTATTATTCTTATACGGCTTATTTTGTGTGATAATAAATTAATTAAATTTAAGAAATATTGAAAGTAATTTATGCATTTTAAACATTGTAATGTTGAGTAACAAAATATTTATACTGTATATTCATTTTAGCTCTATAATTTATAGAGCGAAAAATATAAATCATTTTAAAATTACTTACATTCTCACATTTTAAAGGAGTTGCTCTCACAAACGTATACCGATATATTAGCTGATGTATTATCAAATACTGCAGCAACGTGCATAATGAATGCACACCACTTAATCGTCTATAGAGAGAAATATAAAGTAAGTTCAAGTTATTGTCTCGTTATCAGCACAATTCGAAACGTCGGGTGTTTCCACCCGAAACTAAAATCCATCTACATGGGATTTTTAGTACAAGTTAACTTCCACGGTGGTCTCTGTCTTTATCTGTAGGTACGCATTACTTAAAAAAAGTATCAAATAACATGGTATCGAATGCGCACTATGTTTCTTGGAAAATTAATAAATTGCATGAACACTGCAAATTCTGCTCACCGATATTTTTTATGTATGCTAGACAATTCGAGGGACATCAGAGGCTTGTAAGGTAATAATATTGCTCGATGATCCAGCAATTTGCAATCGAGCAAATACCTGGTCTGCGAGATCTTTAAACATGCATATACTCTGGATGCGCGTAAGTAATTCAATGCTATATTCTCTCGATCAATAGTTATAGGATAAGAGAGAGCTAGGATGGACGAAGAAAAGATGTTATATGCCCGAGTGCCGTGGTGTTGTCAGCATGGCAAATCGATAGTAGTAAATGAAGATAGTATTAATGCATAATTACCCTGCTTTGCGCTATCAAAGATGCACATCTGCACGATCAGTTTGACATCGCTTCGAGAATGGTGTACTGGGACAAAGATGCTATTTACGCATTGTCGAGTTACAAAATTTTAGCATGGCCTATAGGAGTGTGGCCAATTGAAGATGATATCATTTGTTCGAAGATACGTTACATTTTTGCGATTGTAAGCGAGGTGAGAAAAACTTTAATTTTTTTATTTACACACACACACATACACATTGCTGTTCATGTCGTTATACATATTATTTATTTATTATTATAAATAATATTATATGTTATATGTATAATAATTATATGTATATATTTCACATATTGCTTGTGACAATTTTTTTAGTGATAAATAAATATGTAAGAGCATATCTAAAGATATACTCTATTTCTGTAAGAAATATGTTTAAAAACTTTGTGAAGATACGTTTATATGGAGTAGAAAAATACGTAGACTATATTTGTCTGTTCGGTACAGCATGTATCTTTAAATCTATACATTTCTGAAATCATTACTCGTTTTTAATATTATTGTAAAATGTGTGAAATAATTCATAGAAAGGTACTACAAGTCGTTTTACACGAATATAAAAATGTACTGTTGTTGAGAAAAACATGATTAGAGTTTAAAGGAAACTAAGTTTGTCATTTAGGGAAAAATAGTCTTGTCAAGCAAGAAAGATTAAATTTTTCCTGCAAACGCAAAAATTATATAAACAAGAAATTGTAGACAACATTTTGATCTACCGTAATAATATATTATTTTAGATTTTGCTGATGACAACGTTGTTGATGGATGTATACCTTGCCTGCGAAAACTCCTCCGCAGATCCAATTGATACGTACGTGGTGACCTCAAGCGCAATGCTGGTAATTGTCAAACTCACCCTGTTGCAGATACAACGATCCACGCTATCGAACAGCTTACACTCCGCTATTCAGGATTGGTGTAACGTCAAGGATACGAGATCGCGCGAGATCATGATCCAGTACGCACGCACGGCGAGAATAATTTCGTTGACCCTGTTTTACTGCGGATTTATCGCCCTTATATTTTACGTGTTGCGACTCTTACCCTTCATAAACGCGACCACCAATGGAAGGACGTTTGTCCTTCCAATGTCCTGTCTCTTCGAGTCCGTCTCCAATCTTCAGTATGTCCTCATTACATTCTATCAGGTGATTCAGTTGCTCATCACATACGCTGGAAACTGTTGTACGGAGGGAATGTTTGTCGGTGTCACAATGCATCTGTGCGGACAGCTCGAACTATTGATGATCGATTTTCAGCAGATCGATCGTCGCAAGCGTAAGCACAAAAGAGGCAGTATCGTTGAAGAATTCGTTATTAGACATCGAAAATTATTAAAGCTCACGGAAAACATCGAAGATTCCTACAGTATAATCATTTTGACTCAGATTTTTACCAGCGCCATTTTGATATGCATCACGGGTAAGTTGAACGAGTCACTTTCATCTTTATGTGTAAGATCTCTTCATGAATAAGATCAATAATATCCAAAAGAAATATAAATATTCAATTATTACTTCAAAGATATACAATTTTAATAACTTAAATATGATTTTATTGATTTTATTCTTTAATACCTAATAATATTTTATGCGTAAAAATTGTGTGAAAGGAAACTATAAGATATACAAAAATTATTATGTAACATTCCTCATAAAAATTATTCCATTATTCTCAACAGTATTGTGTAATGCGCATTTGAATATTAAAAAAAAGATATTATATTTGCCTTAATTATTTTGTAATAAAAGTCAAATTTACATATTGTAAGAAAACCGATGCATTAATTGCTTTTAAACTTTATATCAGTATGCATTACATTATGAGTCCCTAATCTTTTTTATCAAGAAATTAAAATACCCATTCTCTCCTTAAAATTTTTTTATACTATGTCAAAATTTCTTAGCGGGTCGGTGGAGACTTCTATACGAATAGTATGAACTACATAGCAATTTAACCAAACATTAAAAGTAGTTATAGTTTGAAGACTACCAGTCACAGAATGAAATATATTAATTTAAGGCTTCGGACTTATTGTATCCTGGCACATTCACGACATAGTTATGACGTTGAAGAGCATTGTAATAATGATCGTTATGTTGCTGCAATGCTTCCTGTATTCGTACGCGGGCGATAATTTGAGGGATCAAAGCGAAGCCTTGTCATTCGCTCTTTATGATAGCAACTGGTGCGATTTTCCGCCCAACGATATAAGAGACCTGGCATTCATTATGATAAAAACGAATATACCTATTCGTCTGACCGCCGGAAAGTTTTTCTACGTCACACGTGCTACCTTCACGGATATTCTCAAGACTGCAGTATCTTATTTATCTGCCTTACGTGTTATGATTGACAAACAAGAAACAAATGGTCACTAATAAATATTTCTTTCGTACTATACATATGTCATATTACACATTATTTAAGAAAATCATTCATAGCGGTACTAAACTTTTAGCCCAATTCAATAGTATGTAATTTTAATTTATATTACATAAAAACTTAACATTCTTAGAATAATATGACAAGCAAATAAATGATTAAACAATTTCTCCATCTTGAATTTCCTTGATAACATGGAAATAAAAGATAATATCCTACAATAAAATTCTGTAAGTAGAACTGTTGTAAAAGTTATATAATAAATATATTTCTGTCTAAAATTAATGTTTATCGCTTTGATACAGGAAACGTTTTTCCTAATGTACCAAATTACTTACTTGTAGCGTTTAATTCTCTTCGTTAGTTTTCTAGCTTCGCTGTGATCCACGGAACAGAATATAAAGAAAAAGTCTCTCGTCCGCGCTACATATTTTTATGTTTAGACAAAGTTAAGTCTATACTATTCACGGCCGAAAAGTTATGTAAAGAAGCCAAGACAAAAAAAATGTAATACGATCAAAGTGTACGATAGTATAAGCGAGATGTGTAAAGTTCTTTTCAAGCTTCATGTACGTACGATAGTGTGATAGTTCGATAAGCGACAGCTTAAAAAATATAGCCTTATAAATTCTTATTGAGGAATAATTTTACGTAACAACATAGTTCTCTATATTCTGCGATAATGCTTTAAGAGCATCGAGGCAAGTTGATATAAGTTTCAAGATGAATAAAAAATAAGTCGGGAGGTAGACGGACGGCATCAAGCATATCACATTATTGGTTATTGGTAGTAGTTACAGTTATTACCTTAATCCGATGGCAAGTGAACGATGGAAAGACGATGTCGCGTACGCGATAACCCCTTTTAAATTGGTAGGGTGGTCCCTTGGTGCCTGGCCACTTCAAGTTCACAACGTTTATTCGTTAATACGATATGTCTTGGGCTTCAGCTGCGCGGTATGCACCTTCGAGTTCAGTCTCGATGATCGGTGACGCATAATTCTTTGATATCAACATAAAGTGATGCCTATTTGTATTTTAACACGTGAAACCGTGTCAACAGAGCCTTATGCTTGTCATACCTTCTATCGAGTTTTACTTGGGCTGCACTGACGCGGAGACAAACGTAGACTGCCTCATGTTAGTCTGTTGCGGAATACTTGGTATGCTGAAGACAGTGTGGTTTCGCGTTTACGCGAGAAATTTGGCTGACAATTATAGCTCCGCTATAAAGGATTATCTGACGATTGAGAATACAAAGGAACGTGCCATCATGCGTAAACATGCTTTTATGGGAAGGACTCTTTGCTGTTTGATTTTGGGCTTCTCTTGCTTCAGTTGCGTGATGTACGGGCTAATCGCTATTATGAGCGGAAACAAGCATGTCAATATAACGAATGGGAATGTCATGCTGGAGTATCCAATACCATCAAAATGCGTTATGAAGCACTTAAATGCTCCAGTCAGCATGCATAAAATTTTCTGCCTCATCGACACTGCTGCACTAATACTAGCGAGTGTTGCTAATCATGGTATTGTCAGCTTGTTATGTGATGTTTTTTGCTACTTTTAAAGGATGTAGCATTTTTATTTAAAAATTGATTGCACATATAATATTCTATGAGTAAAAATTTTTTATTATTTTTATTACTGCAAATAATTCATTGTCGATTATAGATAACATTGCTAAAGTGTGGACAGTTTTTTTATTTGTATTAAATAGATGTAAAAATAATATAAATTTATTTGTTTATATGTAAATATATATATATAAATGTATTAATATAGTCTGTATCTCATTGTGTTTCTTTTTGATAAAGGTAACGACGCCTTATTTTTGAATGTTACATTGCACACTTGTGGCCAGGTGAAAATATTGAGAGCCAATTTCCTTGATTTTGATGTCAAAAGTCCGCATATCTACGATCGTTACAACGTATTAGTTAAAAGACACAAGTACTTAATAAAACTAGCCAGAGAACTTGCCGAAATGATTAGTTTCGTTCTGCTGATAGAATTATTCATTATTAGTATACTTTTGTGCATAATGGGTGTGTGAATGACATGTCATTTATAATTGTTTTGCTAAACGTCTAAGGGTATGTTATTAAGAATTTATATTAAACAGACAATATTTTTCCAGGATTTCAACTTATCCTGCAATTAGGTAAAAATAATATTGTTTTAATTACGAAAAATATAATGGTTCAAAGTACATTTCTAATACAATTAACTTTATACGGTACTATTGGGAATTATTTAAAATCCGAAATGGAAGATATAGGACTTTCTGTTTATCAAAGCACTTGGTACAAATTTCCTGCAAAACTGACAAAACGTTTAATCTTTATCATTATGCGCTCAGATTCTCCAGTCACCTTGCAAGCTGGAAATTTTATCGTGGTAAATCTGGCAACTTATCTGAGTATTTTAAAAGCATCTCTTTCGTATCTGTCTGTACTACGTGTAATGGTAAAAGTATGAGATATAACAAATAAAATTCAATAAACTGTAAATATATAATTTCAACGAATGATGATTTGAATAAATAAAAGAAATATTGTATCGAAATATCGTTTTAATAAAATTGTTAGTTGTAACTGTTATATTGTCAAATTAATTTGTTATATATATTATTAATATATAAAGGGTAACAGAATATGTGAGCATAACTTTGGATTCAGGACACTAAGTTAGTAAAAACGTACATATAAATGTTTGTCTTATCTCAAATTATTTCCGAACAGCTGTTTTTTAACTGTACCAGTTGTACAGAAATTACTCGAAGTGACTACCTTCAACTCAAATACAAGCTTCTAGACGTCTTACCTTCTGATATGTTCAAAATTGCCAACATTGCCAGCATAATCGTTGGCAACCGTCAATAATATGGTGCCGAAGTAGGTCAACGTCATCTGCAACTCAGAAACAAGGGGAGAGACAAGACAAACGTTTATATTAACATTTTTTTCTTATTTTAGTGGTCTGAATCGACCAGTGAAGTTATGCTCACTCTTCTGTTGCACCTTGTATACATCCAAACTAATTATTAAATTAATGTGTCGGTATAAAGAAGAAAAAAATTTACCGATGTACAGAATTGCTTAAAAGTTTTCGTAACGCATAATCCTTTGTGCTTGCTAATCTTAATAATCTATGAGAACAAGAAACAGAAAACAAATCATTTACACAATATGTGTAATTCTCATATTTAGATAGATTATATTTATGCTATTACTACTATTCAACCAAGAGGATATTGAAATGAAATAAAACGTAAGACAATCGCTTAAATAGTAAATGAAATTTATATAGCTTTATCTACCAGTCGTACAATAAAAAGGAAGTTTCTCGAGGAAAGACAATAGGAGACCTAAAGTCATGTAAATTCTTGTGCAACAACACAAATTTTACGCGAAACCGTAATTCTCCATGTTTTGTTATAATATGTTAAGAGCACAAAGATAGGCTGATAGGCGGGTATATGTCGCTAGTTGAATAAAAAATGAATCGAAATAGAGGCATTATGTCTATGTACCAAGCGCATCATCAGTCATAGGCATCAGTTACAGTTATTACCTCGACTCAATGGCGAATAAACGATGGAAAGACGATGTCTCGTACGCGATGACCCCCTTCAAATTGCTAACGTGGCCCATCGGCGTTTGGCCACTCCAAGTTTATAACGTCTATTCACTATTACGATGCATCTTTGCCACCTGTTGCGTGGTACGCATCTTTTCCGATGTCAGTGATCCTTGTTGCGTGATAGTCCGAGGACATACGTAAAACATTCTCCCACATTACGTTGCTCTAAACAAAACTTCGCAATGGCAAAACCAAGTGCTTGAATTTCTGGACAACGAATGTCCTATTATTGACAACGTAGGCAGTGAAATATCTCTTTCTAGGGTTAATAGCACATCGAGTGGGCTGTAAATGAGCACAATCGCCTTTGGAAGTTTTAAGTAACAAAACTTTTGTCTTAAAATCCTTATGTTTCGTTCTTGCTCATTTTCCCCATACTTTAAGATAACACAATTCACGTGCAATTACAGTGTGTGCTTATTTCACAATTCGGGAAAAAAGAACTCAACGAATAATATGATACAGAATGGCAAGCAAATTCTCATTGATTCTAAGTTTTATTAAACTGTGTTGTACATTTTGATACAGAAAAATTAGTACTACGTATAATTTTTATCATTTATTATTTTAGTAACGTGTGCTGTCTCGTATTTTTGAAAAATATTTAATTAAATTTTTAAACATATGCACTGTTCTGTATTTTACTGAGAATCTTTTCTTCGCCAGTGATTAGGTGAAATAAAAACGTATTGGGGAAAATTATTCGACGTATCTGGCAATACTTTATTAAAGGGATCCTCTTTTCTTATATTTCTTGATGAACATGTAAGTTTTTTTGGAACTTTTTTTACTTTTATACTCTGTAATTCTATTTTTTGACACACGATAATTTCATAGTCTTCAAAGTCCAACTGGTTGACACTTGTCTGACTTTAGAATGTAAGCCGCTTTTCACCTGAAAAGGACCGGAATTCTCAGTCGAAACGTTGTGTAATTTCTTTAATAAAGTATTGTCAGATACGTCGAATAATTTTTCTCGTTACGTTTTTATTCTGTATTTTACAGATCAGAGTGGTATATTACAGTATTTTTATTCATT